TGTATGGGGGAATCTCCTGAAAAACAATGGGATCGTATCTTACACCTTTCCCTTTGCCATCAGGGCCCCGCACTTTTTGGCTGGTTCGTATGCCCTATGCTATCTTGTTTTCTCCTGAATCAACATGGGATTTCATTTTTATTTGCCTCTTTCTGCACTGGAGAAGGGATTTATTTTTTTATCCCCACCCCTTAGTTCTTCAAATGATTACGAACATTTGATTCTTAATCATTCAGCAAATATAAGCCTTTATTTACATTCAGTTTAAATACTGTGTATGCACTGAACGTATGCTGTATATATTTGATTTCATTTGTTATCAGGAATATATGAATTAAAGTTACAATGCCATACTACTATACTCTAAAAGCGATGACTGTGGTAGGCGAAATTTCAAGATGACATGTAACCCCAGCCATTGTTTAAATCCATTTGCTGGGAGAATGAAAGGATGTCATCACTGTGATTGTGCTACATTAGGTGGCAAAAGAGATTTCTCAGATATAATTAAGGTTATCAAACAGTTGATACTGAGTTAATCAAAAGGAGATAACTCAGATGGCCTTAACTTAATCACATGAGTCCTTTAAAAGCAGAGAGTTTTGTCCTCCCTTTGGCCACAATTGGTAGCAGAAAAAGAAAAACTCAGATTTAAAATATGAGAGGGCTTCAATGTGAAGGATGCTCACTTCTGCAGAGATGGCTGTACCATGACCCTGGTATCTCGGAGTGGTCCCTAGCTGACAGCCAGGACAGTAAACAGACCTGAGTCATGCTGCTGGAAGGAAGTAAATTGCACTAACAACCTGAATCTCACTTTAGAAGTGGATTCTTAATACAGATGCACTAGGTAAGAGCCTGGTCTGGCCAACACATTGAGGTTGACCTTGGAAGACCCTAATCAAAGAACCCAGTTGAACCACCTGGACTGCTGATCTACAAAACTGCATGGTAAAAGTGGCAATACTGAGTATTGCTGTGGATATAAAACAACTGAAATTCTCTGTTGTTGGTAACAAAAATTAATATAGTTAAAACAGTTCAGAATATTGTTTGACAGTATCTACCAAAGCACACCATAAAACTTACGAACTTATTTTAGGGACAGTTTTCTAGATAGTTTTCTAATATAAATATGTTTATGCACCTATGAGAAAAGTACAAGAATATTTATAGACAGTTGAAGTAACCCAAACTGGAAATGACCTATGTCCATTACCAATGAAATATATAAATGAACTGTGGTATGTTATTCCAGCTGAAAGCTATGAATGAAATAATTCACACATGAAGGAATAGGCTCTCCAAAGAGTCTGATCACATTGGTGTTTAAAGGTCAAAAACAGGGAAATTTTATCTAAATTAATACATATGATAATAGTGGTGAAGCTTTGAAGCTACCACACAGCATTCATGCAGGGGCACGGGAGGGGTTTTGGAATCTTGGTAATGCACTATTCATTGATCTTGATACTCATTCAATGGGTGTGTTCATGTGGCAAAGCTTTCATTTTACTGTAAATGTATAGCTTTCATACTTTTCATTCTTTAATGAGAAGTTTTTTTAAACAAGGACTGTAAAGTGCTTCTACTGTGGGCTTAAAAAAAGAAACATTCCCCAGGGTCATATAGCTCATGAGTATGAGTGGAAAGGCTGAACTGGAAAGTGATATTTCTAAGGATCATTTAAAAGTTAACACTTTAATTGAATTAGATCTTCTATTTCACTGAAAATAGAAAAGGGACAAAGAATAAGTAAGGATATCCCATGAATAATTTTGACATGTACAATCAATTTTTTTTTTTTTTTAACAAAACAGTTTGCCGGGAGGATTCCTATCATTCTGTCGTGTCCTGTGCTGCCGTAGTTCTCACTCCTGTGGAACCAACGATAGACATGAAGAGAGAAGAACCAAAACGTCCTGAGCCTTCCAAACAGTGAGTTTTCCATTTAATTTTTCAGAGCCTTGTAAAATCAGTTGGATAACTGATCAGAATTATACTGCTCAGAAATTACGAGATATAATGAATGTGCTAACATTAATTGAAAAGCAGCATACATTTTTACATTGAAAATAAATCTGTTTTATATGATCACAGTTACTAACTGCTGTGTCTCATCATTTCATGTGTTGAACCATTGGTGTTCAATGGTGTTGAACCATCATTTCATGTGTCCTCCATTGAAGTTTCATTTTGTCACCTTGTCTAAGGACATGGGTAAATAGCCTCATGTACTTTATTTCCTGAACACCATGATTGTTGATATACTATTTTTGGATGACTTACTATCTAGTTTTAGGCTTTAATAGTCTAAAATAGAATCCGTACTTAATATAAATTTTTCCTCTTAAAGTTGGTTTGCATTTTTATAAGGAATATGTTATTATTTTAAAATATTTGTATTAGATTACCACCAATTAAAACTTTACACTGTTTAATGTTTCCATATTTGGCCATTTATATGATTCAGACTTTAAATTTAAATTTAAATTTGATCTTATGTTAAATAAATTATAAAGTTCTAGTCTTATAATGGCCAAAGAGACTTAAATAAAGATAAGATACATAGACTCGAAGCATGAGATAAACTATGATTATTTCTAGTTACATATTATATAAATGAATAGGAAAATCTCCTGATGATATTTCATAGAAAACAGTACCATGCCTGCTGTAAGGTCTCAGATTATGAACTGTATGATGTGCTACTAAGGATTGTGCTCCAACCAACACATGACTAAGTGGGAGATACCTTGATGCCCCCACCAATTTTTTTAGGGACAAGATTTTTTTTTTATTTCATTTTTTATTTGTTAGGGTACATTCTCCATTGTATTATATTTTCTTTTTGGCATGTCTTTCTGTTGGATAATAAGCTCTCAAAGACAGAGTTTCCTGGAACATGATCCTGCTTGGTAGTTATTGTGAAATCATAAGAAAGACCCTTCATGTTACGTTCAATAATGTTGATTTTATTGAATTTAAATGAAGCAATGTATGTATTAACATTTGATTGCATGAAGATATTCAGTTCTTGTTACAGAGGAGAGAAACTCTAACCAATTCAAAAAGTAATGATTATAATTCAGGGTGAATTACAATCTAAATGAATACAATCTAAAAGTGAAAACAATTTAACTGCTCTTAATACAGTCTAATTTATAGGTGCCAAAAGCTGTTTTTGTCTAATAGAAGGGAAATTACATCTGTTTGTCAATTGAATTATATTAGAAAGCTTAAATGTATTTCCCTGCTACATCTGTATAAAACTTTCCTCATCCACTAACTGGGGCAATATCTCCACCCTTACTGTGGCATGTGAAATAATGTTAGTAAAGGATCTGAAATCTAATAGTTTATAAAATGCTAATTATGCCACCCCTTCCATAGATTCAATTACTAACATACGGTTAACTTACAGATAGATATTTTTATCCTTAAGGTGCTTGTGAATGCAAGTCTAACATTTAAACTTATCAATCAGATTTAGAATCTCATGCAGGTTGTATGTCCCTTGTCTGAAATGCTTTGGACCAGAAATGTTTTAGATTTCAAATTTTTTCATATTGTGTAATATTTGCTTTATGTCAGTTAAGCTTCCCAAATCAGAAAATCTGAAATTAGAAATACTCTGATGAGTATGTCCTTTTTTTTTTTTTTTTTTTTTTTGCAGTTTTTGGCCAGGGCTAGGTTTGAACCCACCACCTCCGGCATATGGGGCCAGCACCTTGCTCCTCTGAGCTACAGGCACCATCCATGATTATGTCCTTTGATCATCATGTTGACACTCAAAAAGCTTTGGATTTTTAGGTGTTTCAGTTTTCAGAAACTCAGATTTGGGATCCTCAACCTGTATGTCTAAAACCAATTGAAAGTCTCATTGCCCCCGTAAATTCTCTGTTCTTTCTAACTTCCATATTTAAGTAAAGCTACTGTCATTTTTCTTTTCTTAAAATCTTATTATGTTTCCTTCCTCACATCTCATATTCAATTCATTATCAATTACTTGATTAATGTCTCTGTTATATTTTAAACATCTCGTGTTTTAAATTCTTCTAATATATCTTTGGTTATGATCTTAATGATGTCATCTATCAAATGGAAATTACATATGCCCTATGTACGTCACACTGTTATTTTGAGAATTAAATGATAGGTGGGACTGTATTACCAAGAACACAAGATAAATGTAAAGACAGTGATTAACTCAAAACACTTTCTTGAGTGAGTGAGAAAATTCCACTGCAAACTGGTTTAAGAAAAATTAGGAGTGGTGGTAGTTACTGGTCCATGCAATTAACAATATGTAAAGGTAGAATTTTCTTACGTATAGTTGGGTCTGGTTCTCATACAGTTTCGCCCAGAGTCCTTCTCTCTATCTGCATCTCTTTGCTCTGCTCTTGTGACTGGAGTTTTTGTTTCCTTGGAGTTCCTTAGTGGTGACATTGGTGCTTTCAGCAACAACTGGGATGGATTTTTATATTTTTAATATATTCAGTGGAAATAGATCATGTTTGTTTCTCTTTAATCAAAATTTTAAAAAGTCATTGGCTTTGACTAGCTCAGTTTGTTGGATATCACCATTCTGAAGCAATTGCTGAATCCACAATGACTAGAACCAGATCACGTGATGAGCTCTGAAGCAGAGTGTAGTTCGTAAGGAAACGTGATTCCACATTTGACAGACTGATAATGTTGGTAAAAGAAGACAGAGATAGATAGACAATAAGAAGTCCAAAGAATGGATATATATAGGTAGGAATATCATCATCATTCATTTTAAAAGTCAGGGTTCTTTATTATTTTTAAGTTATAGATATTAAAGTAGTATAGTAAAGCAACATATATATATATAGTCTTTATATATATATACCTTCTCTTTTAAATGATTTTCACCTACTTAATTTTATTTCCTGTTATTTCATCTGATTGTGGGATGGAAAGGAAGTATAACTTTATGGTTTGGAATTCAGCCCATGGGTAATTTTGTTTCTTATTGAACTTTCTTAACTGTAATTTGTTTGTTTCTTTTTAATGTGAGAGTTACTGTATCAACCTCAGGGTGCATTGCTTAAACCAGATTCAGGAGGAACCTGTATATGAATGTTGTAAATTTTTTACAAAGCTGTATTAGTTAAATAGCTATATCACATTTTCATTAATGGAGTTACCAAAATCTTGTAGTCTGTTAGGTTTTTGTATTTTGGATATTCCATAAGTAAAAATGGTAGACATAAAATTATGCTAGTAGTTGAGACATTGTCTTTGGATACCTACTATTTCCTTTAAATTGATGATGCAATTATTTCTTTATGCAAATCTTCTCCTTTAATTTTATAGGGTTCATATATAAATTCATAAACCAGTGAATCTTTGATACATGACTCATAGGGTCATTCAATTCAGAGCTCAGCAAGTCTCTTGCTAAGAATAACTAGAATAATCATCTCATTATATGAGCTTCAGAATATCTAAGATTATACATAAAAAAGAAAATGTAAGGTCATATGTTTTGGAGATGTTAGAATTTAGGTGAGGAGATAAAACATGCACCTAAAAAGTTAAATCACAGCATAAGTGCTACATAGACTGTTTCTCCAGTGTGAGGTACTGATTTTGGTTAGGCATATGACCGTCTAAAGTGGGATCAGATTTATTGAAATATCAATGGAACTTATGAAAATAAATCTAGGATATTAGTTTTAATTATATTATATTGATATATAATTACATCATTTTAGAAAGTTAATAACCTTTTGTGACTGAAAATTTCTATTACCTCATCAACTTTTAGTCGTATTCTGATGACAGGTGTACATATTTTAATCTTGAAAGTGTACTATTGACTATTCTCATGTACTTCTCGGTTTCTGGACATACATAATAAGGAGAAATAATCATGGGGAATTCCTATTCAAAATAAACTGTAAATTTTTCAGCACAGCAAGTGATAGGGAGAAACTAAATCCTGGGAAAAACTAAATCCTTTCAGAAGGAAAGTTACATTTTGTTCATTACAAAGTGGGAGAAAGAGCTTTCCTCTTGTTGTTACTTCTAAAATTCATCTTAATTCAGGAAACCAAAGGCAAGAGTTTAGTTCACTTTTCAGTCTTGTCTGATATGTAGCTCATAATGTCATGGAAAGGATAAACTTACTAAAAAACTAAAAAAATCTATATAATCCAAAACGAGTATACAGTTTTCAAATACTTGGTAATAAGCATAGAATCCCTGGGTCATTACTTTGAGTGTGAAAGTGTATACATTTGTGCAAATCTCACTCTTAAAAGTATGCCCAAATATCTGGCCACATTCACCATGTTATTTAAAACTATAAATGTCATGGGCAGCGCCTGTGGCTCAAAGGAGTAGGGTGCTGGCCCCATATGCCAGAGGTGGTGGGTTCAAACCCAGCTCCAGCAAAACAAAAACAAAAACAAAAACAAAAAACCAACTGCAACAAAAACAAAAACTATAAATGTCTTAAATCAGATATAAATGAGTACTACTTAAGGGGTTTTAATGTAGCAATAGAGATTAGGGAAACTTCCCTGAGGAAGTGACTCTCGAAGTAAGATTGGAAAGATATTAGTTAAGTAAGTGAAAAAGCAATGGAAGAACATTCTAGCAAATGGAAGGGCTTGTTAAAGTACTCTGGGATGGGTAGGAACACGGAGAAATGGACAGATCTGGTGGGAGGTAACAAACTCATGTGATATGGTCAAATTTGCCTTTCAAGACCTTTCTCCTTATTAGTTAGAGAATAATTTGGGTGTGTGGGGGGCAGCCCACTTGGGAGGGCCAAATTGTTGGCATTTCTCCCCAAATCCTGGTTGAGTGACCTCACATTAAAAGTTTGAAATCAGCCACAGGGTGGGGGTGGGTGGGTGTATTTATACTATAGAAGTTAGCAAATTCTATAAGTAAAGACATTC